AATAAAATTTTAAAATATATATATTTAAAAAAAAAAAAAAAGACTAAGCCTTCTTTAGGCCCTTGGTCTGGCCGGATGGCAGCGCTCCCTGGAGAGTGTTTGAGCCTTAACATCCCCCTGTTGAATCATGGAGATGGGTGAGTTTTTTTTTTTTTTATCTCCAGAGCATAGCTTTTCTCATTTGTGACCTTGAGGATTAGGAGTGGGGAGGCCTGAGACGTGACTTCTGTTGGGGCTGACGTCCTTCAGAGAAAGGGCAGCCCACTGAACCTGCTCCCTCTGGCACCTTTGATCAACTTCATGAGTGGCCCCAGCTTTCCCCAACACTCAACCTTCACTCTAAGTCACCACAGAGAAACAGAGAGAAGCAAAAACTTCTCCACACTCACACAATGCGCCCTTCAGCTGGGGCTTCTGAGAGCATGGCGAGGAGTCACAGCTCAGAGGTGTCCAAGAGAGGGCTGAGGGGTGGGGGGTGGACCTTCTGCTACCTACTTGGCAGAAAAGCATTTGGGCTTATAATAACCCCAGATGGCCATCACCCTTGGGGCCATCACATCATGAACAGCAAGGGGGACCTTCTCTTACAACTGTGCGCGCGCTTTTGTGTAAGGGCCAAGACTACTGTGATCTCAGCCCTGAGGTATGTGAGGGCACCCAGCCTATCACCAGTCTGTAGTAGGTACACCACCCATGTTTGATGCTATAAAACCTACATCTCTAGACGCCTGCTCTTCCCGGCTCTGGTGACCCTGCTCATCTCCACTCTGACCTTCCCCCCTGGCTTTGGACAGTTCATGGCCGGACAGGTAAATCCAGGCAGAACAGACACTTGTGCTCTCCCTTGGGGTACATCCCTTCTAAAGCCAACAGCCTTTGCTCTCCTGTGGGCCCCTTCCCTTCATCCTGGCTGTTCCCCAGCCTGAGGCACACCTGTTCACCTATAGCTCTCACAGAAAGAAACTCTGGTCACCCTGTTTGACAACCGGACATGGGTCCGCCAGGGCCTGGTGGAGGACCTGGAGCCGCCGGGAACCTCACAGGCCTGGAGCCCACCACGCGCCAACGTCTTCCTCACCTTGGTCATCTTCATTCTCATGAAGGTGGGGCTCCTTACGTGTGTATATATAGCTAGTGCTGACCTGGGCTTACTAGGTGCCAGACACCGTTCTGAGCACTTTCCAACTTTCCATATAGTAATTCCTCTTAAGCCTCACAACAATGCTATGAGAAAGGCACTGTCAGTAGCCCTGTCCTAAAGATGGGAAGTTGAGACCCAAAGAGCTTACGTAACTGGCCCAGAGCGAGATGGCAGAGTGAGATTTGAACCCAAGCCATCTGGTTCTGGAGTCCTCGTCCTTCCTTCGCCTCTGGGGGATGCTGGGATAGCTGGGAGTTTGTGCCTGATAAGCAAGGTAGGCTCCTCAGGGTGGAGCTGGAGGCTGCCCGGGGCCTGGGGGTGCCTCTACCCGTTTGAACTGCCTCCCGCCCACAGTTCTGGATGTCTGCACTGGCCACCACCATCCCAGTGCCCTGTGGGGCCTTCATGCCAGTCTTTGTCATTGGTGAGTCCTCGGCTGCCTGCTCTCCTAGCCTGCACCCTTCCCACCCGCTGGCTGTCCCCTCTCTGCCTGGGAGCGGGTTTTGGTCCAGCCCCAACCCCCACCCCCCTGACTGTCCCCTGTACTGAGTGACCCACTGACCCTCTCTCTTCCTAGTGCCCCCCGCCCTCCCCCTCCACTACCTGTTTCTCTTCCCACCCCCCTCCCTGAAGGAGCAGCATTTGGGCGGCTGGTGGGCGAAAGCATGGCTGCCTGGTTCCCAGATGGGATTCACACTGACAGCAGCACCTACCGGATCGTGCCCGGAGGCTACGCAGTGGTGGGTGAGTGCCCCAGGTCCCCGTCTGTCTTGGAAGACCCCTGGTCTGGCCACGTGTCTGAGGTTCTGGTGCCCCCTGCTGGCAGGAACCAGGCTTCCCTCAGATGCAGAGGCCAGTCTCCAGGTCTGTACTGGGAGGCCCTGAGGGCCCCCAGAGGACCATCTCTGGGCGGGGAGGGTCGTCTGGGGCCTGGGCACCCTGAGGAAACTGAGGGTGGCTATCTCCAGGGGCCGCTGCACTGGCAGGAGCAGTGACACACACAGTGTCCACGGCCGTGATTGTGTTCGAGCTCACGGGCCAGATCGCCCACATCCTACCCGTCATGATCGCCGTCATCCTGGCCAACGCCGTTGCCCAGAGCCTACAGCCCTCACTCTATGACAGCATCATCCGGATCAAGAAACTGCCCTATTTGCCTGAGCTGGGCTGGGGCCGCCACCAGTATGGAGGGCTGGGCGACAACGGGGGTGCGGGGGAGGGTCAGAAGGACCCCTCAGACCCACCTCCAGCAAGGTCCTCAGACAGTGAAGCTAGAAGACCAGCCATCCTGCTCCCTCCTGGTCGGAGCTGCCCCGTCCACACGCTGGGGAAGCTGTGGCTGGCCCCTCCTGATCAGACTCCTTGGCTCTTAGCCCTCATGCCCACAGGCTAGGGCCTTCTTTATGGTCCTGGGACGTAGTGCAGCTGGGCTACCCTCCCCATCCTGACCACAAACCAAGTGCCTCATGTCTCTGCCCTCAGGCAGTACCGGATGCGAGTGGAGGACATCATGGTGCGGGATGTTCCCCACGTGGCCCTCAGCTGCACCTTCCGGGACCTTCGGCTGGCACTGCACAGGACCAAGGGCCGCATGTTGGCCCTAGTAGAGTCCCCTGGTGAGACCAGGAGGGGACCCCAGTGCTAGGGGCATCTCCCAGGGTTGCCACTCAGGAAGGGGGAGGGCGCAGGAAGCTCAGAACCAGTCTCCTTGGTTCCAAAGGGAGCAGGCCAGCATTTGCCAGCCAGGAGTTCCCTCTGGTGTGTGGCCTATATCCAAGGCCACACTCTGGGTGTGAAAGAAGGCCGGGGGGTGGGTAGGAGGACCTCACCCCCAGCTCCTGAGTCCTCCCACCTGCTCTGTCCAGAGTCCATGATCCTCCTGGGCTCCATTGAGCGCTCACAGGTGGTGGCATTGCTGGGGGCCCAGCTGAGCCCAGCCCGCCGGCGGCAGTACGTGCAAGAGCGTCGAGCTGCCCAGACCTCTCCACCCTCTGATCAGGAGTGTCCCCCTAGCCCTGAGACATCCGTCCGATTCCAGGTGAGGAGGAAAACCCCACAGTCACACAAACTTCCGAAATGTCATGTAGACTGATTGGGAGGGCGACATAGAGGCGATCTGGGGCCATAGCCTCACCAGCCCCTTCCTTGCCCGTGCAGGTGAACACAGAGGACTCAGGTTTCCCTGCAGCCCAGGGAGAGACTCACAAGCCCCTGAAGCCTGCTCTCAAGAGGGGGCCCAGCAACACCATGAATCTCGGGGAGAGTCCCACAGGTGAGCTTGTCTCCCACTAACAGCCAGAACCCAGCCCCTGAGATTTTGCTTGAGCATATCCCAGGTAAGAGGCTGCCCAGATGGGCCAGGGGTAGAACCAGGACACCTCTCCTCTCGCCCTCCTCACCTCTGCTGGTCCTCTCCCTCAAAGATGACATTGCACCCCACCCCCACCCCCCGCCTTCTGTTTGGGAACACAGGGAACATGGAGCAGGCAGGCATCGCCCTCAGGAGCCTCTTCTGTGGCAGTCCAACCCCTGAGGCTGCTTCAGAGGTGAGTGGTTGGAGTCTCTCTGTCTCTTTCTTTCCAGCTCTCTCTCTCTGACACTAAGACCACCTCTCCATTTACCCTGCAAAGCCTGCCTCCATTCTCCCTGCCCTCTTCTGCCCTCCCAGATGTCAGCTCTGTCCCTGCTGCATGCCCTTCCTCTCAGCTCCACCGCTTACCCTCACCTCCCTCCCTGTAACATCAACTCCTCTTCTCTCTGGCTCTAACAAAGTTGGAGAAGTCGGAATCATGTGACATGCGCAAGCTGAAGCGGGTCCGAATCACCCTGGCGGTAAGTGCTCCCTTTCTTCCTGCAGCCCAGGAGCACTAACCGGGGAGGGCTGGGGTCTAGCGGCATCAGCCTCCCTGAGCTGGGGGGGGTACACCCACCTCCACCTCCCCCCAAGCCACTAGCTGTCAAGCTCCCTCCCTCTCTCCTAGAGTGACTCAGACCTGGAAGGCGAGATGACCCCTGAGGAGGTAAGGTGTGACTGGACTCTGGACCCTCGTTCTGCCTGGGAATGTGCAGTCATCATCTTGGCGGCTGTCCCCATGGGAGGGACCGTGGGGAGGGACCGTGGGTGGGAAAAGGGGCAGGCCAGCTTTCAGGGAGGTGAGAGCAGCTATTGGCACCTTCCCCCTAATCCTCTTAGTCTCATCCTCTCAGATTCTGGAGTGGGAAGAACAGCAACTGGATGAACCTGTCAACTTCAGTGACTGCAAAATTGACCCCGCCCCCTTCCAGCTGGTGGAGCGGACCTCTTTGCACAAGGTAGGGGCCATGGCCCCTGGCCTGGGGCCGGCCGGGGCTCTCAGGAGCACAGGGTGGGGATCTAGGTCCTCCCATAGTTTGGACGCAGGCCAGTGGGGGAAAACAGGACAGCAGAGGTTGGGCTCTTGGCTGAGATGTTTTTCAGACACACTGCCTCAAAGGATGGGAGGCCGGGAGCCAGGGCCCCTTAGCCTCTTCCTGCCTACCGTGGAGCCAGGCATCATTTTTCCCCTGCTCAGCCTTGCCCCCTGGGAACTCTGGACCAAAGCAGCAACAAAGACAGGGTTTCAGCTGGGTGGAAGCCAGAAGGCCAGGCGAGGGTCAGAGGCATGCGGGAGACTGCCAGCACCCAACAAGGCTGTTACACCCCCGCTGAAAAAAATGGGTGAGAAACAAGCAGGACAAGAAAATCTAATAAACAAGCTAACAAACATCCAAGTAGGGGTGGGGACACTGCAGAGAAGAGATAAACAAAGATGAGAAACGCCCAGTGGGGGGCCTGGAATGTCAGACCCCAGAAAGTCTGACTTAATGTAGGCCAAAGGAAAACTGGTAGGGACACGGGAAGATAGCTCAGGAGGAGGGCAAACTGGCCTGCAGAAGTGGGGAGAAAACTTGAGTGCAGACAGGTTGGTGGAGGGTGAGGCTGACGCCAGAGGGTGGGGGCTCCCCAGCATAGAGCAGCGGCATCATCGGGCACCTTCAGGCTTCTAAGGGAATGCAGGCAAACCCGGCAGGGTGCTGGGGTAGAAACCAAGTATTTTAGCTAAATCCTGCATGCCTCCAACGCACGGGGGCTGCCGGCAGCGGAGGAACACTCCCAAGGTCTGCAGCCCCGGCAGCTAGCTGAGGTGCAAGCTGTGCGGAAGAGCCAGCCTATCTCGGACAAGCAGGGGCTGGGCCAGAAAGCACGGGGCACAAAGAAACAGAAAAGCAAAAGGCAATAACTAAAAAAAAAAAAAAAAAAGCAAAAGGCAATAAAGGAACTTATAAGCCTTTGGGTAAAGACCTCAGATCAAAGTGACTAGGGAACTACAGTGCAGTTGCAAGAAAAAAATCTATAGGCCTGAGAATACACTGAGTTTTTATTTAAAGCCTTTCTTCCTAAGACCTCTAAAGCTTTTCTATCATCTTACTTAGTCCTCAAATGTCCCATAATGATGATGGTGATGAGAATGTTGCCATTTCTTTAGTATCTGCTTCTGTGCCAGGCACTTGCCAAGTTCTTCATGTTTAATTTAATCCTCATAACAAGACTGTGAAATAGATATTGTGATATCCCAGTTTTTATAGATGAGGACATTGAGATTCAGAGAAGTTAAGCAAGTTGCCCAAGGTCACACAGCTGGTAAGCAGCACAATTGGACTGGAACCCAAGATGGTCTGACCCAAAAGCCTGGGGACTTAACCACTTTAATACCCGGGGAGACTGAGGCAGTGAGGAGGTCCCTTGCCTGAGTCAATAGAGCAGAATGAGGCCCAGAGCCCAGATTTCCTGGCCCCAATCCCAGGATTCTTTCAGATGGCCACGTTGTTGTTCCTCTCCCTGTCAATCCACTGTTCCCAAGCCCAAGATGTGCAGGACCTCCAATGGGCTCCCCGGTGTCTAATTAAATTAAAATAAAAAAGAACAAAGTGGGTGTTTGTTACAAACTTAAAAATCAGAGGAAGAGAAGAAGCCTTTGAGGAACCGACCAACAAAAGTACAAAGAACTGGAAGCGATAAGAACATAAAAGATTAGAATTCAAAATGTCCTTGCAGGCCTGAGGAATCAATTAGTAGTAGCCTAATCAAGTTCAGGAGGAGAACATTCAGGAGGAGAGGGAATTCACTGGAAACTATTTAGGAAGCCGCAAGTCTAGAGCTGGCCAGCCACACCAGCTAGATGCCGCATTCATTCTGAGGCCACCTACAGACAAGCAGTGGGGGAGGCAGGAGAGGCTAGGGTGTCAAAGCTGGGCCAGCCAGGCTTTACCCAAATCCTCAGTCCGCCATGTGTCAGCTAGCTGGGGAGCCTTGGTAAATTTCTTAGCCTCTCTGGGCTTCACTTTCCTTATCACTAGGATGGGGATCAGTACCCTAGCAGAGGTTTTTCTTTGGATGAAGGACTTGATACAGGATTTTAGAACAGTGCTGGCCATAGTAGAAGTTCTGTATATGTGAGGAATGACTACTACCACTGCTTGTACTGAGAGGCAGACAGTGGGGGACTTTAAAAGGTAGTGTAGCGAGGGAAGGATTGACGTGTGTAAGAAATGGACGTTTTCAGAGAAAAGATGAATGATTATGTGAGGCTGGAAGCTGGAGGGCCTGGCAGAATCCGAGGCCAGAAAGACCAGCTGGTATGGCTTTGGGAAGGGTCTTGTGGGCCATACTGGGGAGTCTGGGCTCTAACTCAAGTTTGAGAAAGCTCATAGGATGGCAGAGCCAAGTTGGAGGGAAGGGAGACCAAAAACAGACCCCATGAGGATGTTGTGGAGTCAGAGAGGATGGCCAAGATGCTCAAGAAGCAGATCAGCAGCGCTTGGTGACTGCCGGGGACCAGTGGTTTGCAAACCTAAAAGGCACGTAGCCTGCCAGAAGCTCATTCTCATTAGGACTGTGGAGAGAAAGAAAAATCCAGGGGAACGATTTAGTAGGATACTTGGGAGAAGATAGAGGGATTATTAAACCATAAGAAGACAAAGCTACAGAATTATTAGGACAAGAAATCTCATAACAGAGATATGTTTCCCTTTGAAGTCAGATGAGGAAATTAAAGGAAACATGCAGCACGTAGGATTGAAGTTGGTTATGAGGAAGAACTTGCTAATAACCACATGACAGTTGTGATAAAAGTATTGGAGGAACACAGAAAAGCTTACTCTAAAACTGAACTCCTAACTGCTTTTATAAGTATGGTCATGCCTTAGCTGGAGAGTTAGTTAAGTTCTGGAAGTCCTTTAATAAAAAAATTCAGCACCTGTTTAAGAAAATATTTTTAAAGCTTTCAGACGGTTATAATGAGTTTGAGTAACTAGTACTCGAAAAGCTGGGTTAGTAATGCCCATTTTGATTCAGACACTAAGCCAAGAGGCTTAAAAGTGAACTCAAAACACGGCGATAAGTGATAGGCCCCAAATTCCAGGAAGGGCCGTGTCAGTGGAGTGTTTTTCAAGACATCTGGCCCAAGAAAATCTACTTAGAACACAAGGGAAGCTGGTTGACAATTTCTGAGCCCTCGGGGATTACATGTAAAAGTTGGGGGTGGGGGGAGAGCCCAAACCAAGAAAAACATGGGAGCATGTGGATGGCTGTCGCTTCCCTGGACTTCAGGCTTCATCTCAGCAGCACCTGGGATGCTACTTGGGCCCCAGAAGAGCCAAACTATACGCGAGACGTAGAGAGCTTCGGCCACGACTGACGTGTTGGAGCCCGGGGGAGGGGACACTTTAACTGCCAGCCAGCTGGAGGCAAATGGGAAGCATGTGTCAGCCACTAAAGTGGGGTGAGAGGCACGGAGCTCAGGGCTGGTACCCCTGAAGGCTACAGATACCTCCGTGACCGACTGGACATCTGCACAGGACTGGCGCTAAGTCTCCTCCTCCCACAGTGTGATGAAAAGCTCCTTCTGGAGCCGTGAAGTCACCGCACCACTGAGCCTCATGTTGCCCCTCCCGTAGGATGGGTATCATCCATATTTCTCAGACCAGGACTGAAATTAGTTGCTAATTTCAGGAAGACCTAGCCCAGTGCCTGGTCAATCATTAGATGTCACATTTGAACAGTTGTTCTCTCCTCCATCATCCTCCTTTCCAACATGGGACGAAGAATCCTTCCTCTGTCTGTTTCTCCATCAACATAAGCAACATAAAGATACCCATTATCAAGTTTCTGAGGCCTGGCTGCAGAAACACTCTCATTATTCTTTTCCCTCCGGTGGCCCTCCCTTCCGCCCCACTATCTGTGGCACCCCTCCTGTCCCCCATCCCCCACCTTGTCCTGGGACCCTCTGGCCAGTAATTTATAGAATTGTGCCCTTGCGCGTGACGTCCGGTGTGTTTTCTCCCGACCCCGCAGACTCACACCGTCTTCTCGCTGCTGGGAGTGGACCATGCATATGTCACCAGCATTGGCAGGCTCATTGGGATCGTCACTCTAAAGGAGGTGAGATGATAAATGGCCATCACACCACTTCTGCTTCAAAAAAGGCATGCAGGCTTGTGTCCAACCCACCCGAGGGTGGAGTCTGAGCAGGGAGCGCAGAGGCCACGCATCTGACCCTCTCCCCTCTCCAGCTCCGGAAGGCCATCGAGGGCTCCGTCACAGCACAGGGCGTCAAAGTCCGGCCACCCCTCGCCAGCTTCCGCGACAGTGCCACCAGCAGCAGTGACACGGAGACCACGGAGGTGCACGCACTCTGGGGGCCCCGCTCCCATCATGGCCTCCCCCGGGAGGGGAGCCCTTCTGACAGCGATGACAAGTGCCAATGAACCCCTCAATGGGCGGCCTGGGATGGCAGTGGCCGTGGCTGTTGGCCAATCCTGAAGCTCTCCTATTCCTTCTGCCTTGGGAAAGGAGGTGGCTACCCTAAAGGCTGAAGCCGTAGCCTCCCTTCCAGGCCTGGGGTGGTGCCAAGCTCCTGGTTCGTCCTACCTGGAATCTGACCAAGTGCCCACCTGCAAGTATTCCACGGGCAGGAAGATCAGCATCCCCCCTGGCAGGATAGGGGTGGAGTCACTTGACCCCTGCTCCCCCTCTGAGGGGAAAAGGGGTAGAACTAAGATGGGTTTATACTGGAACCTCCTCCAATGACCAGATGTATATAGAGATTTACAAAGATTTTTATATTAATTTAATAAAACAAATTCTTAAATAGAACAAAATAAACACCTAATGAGCCACTTATATATAGAATGCCTGTGCCCATCAGCTCTTGTTCTTACCTTGGGCCCTCTTACCTGCCAAAGCCTACAAGGCTCCGAACTCTGCAGCCACCCACACCCCCCGCAGCCATCAAACCCAGAGCTCACTGTCTGTGGAATACAGGATCTACAGAGGCCTCCACTGCTTAGTTATCAAAATCCTAGCTAGGGCACAGGCCCTCAGTGCTGTAGCTTTGGCCTTTTGTTCAGCCAAGAAAGGCACTACTCTCTTCCCTCCCCCCAAGGAGAGACACTCCCACACGACCGACCGTCGCTCGTTGGCACCATTTCTGCCGGGCTCAGGCATCAGCAGACAACTGCCCAGCCACCCGTGTGGCCTCCTTGCGACCCTCTCCGGAAGAACAGCGAAGTCACAGCTCCGAAGCTACCAGAGCCACCCACCCCTTCCCCCAGCTCGGCTCTAAGGAGAACTTGGTGAATGGGGACAGCGAGGCAGGCTGGGAGCCGCTGGGACCCTGCCCACACATCCTACAAGGGGCCAGGAAAAGGGTGGAGGGTACATGCTTTCATCAATCCAATGCCTCCCAGAGAACATCCGACTGAAAGAACAGACCAAAACCCCTCTTTCTTTAGGAAAAAGAAGAAGATTTAGAGGTGATGGAGAGGCGAAGCACAGCACGAGCCCAGGTGGGCGAGGGGCCCTTGGGGGATGGCTCAATCCTAGGCTCCAGGAGGGTAAGAGCCAGCCTGCCCTGGGGTAGGGGTGATTCTATCGAGCACTGCACATGGACTCAGAGGTGGAGAGAAGCAGAGAAGAGAGAGGCATGGGGAAGGGGGCGGGGGGGGGCCGGGCTCCCTCCCGTTCCACCCGACACGGCCCAGTCACAACCACCCCCTTAGGGGTTCACATCATCCAAGGAGGAAATGTGTATGTGGTGTTTTTGATTTAAGAACATGAACATCACTGTCTGCCACAGCTGTAGCCATGCCCCAGGGGCCCCGGGCAACCCCCGGCAAACCCCAGGAGTGGGGGCAGGACATGCGCCCCCAGCCTGGCCCCTGCCTCCTCTCCAAACACTTTCATGCAAAACACACAACGGAGGAGTGAGTGCTCCCAGGAGCCCTCTAGGCTTTGGAGCTCTGCCGGAAGCCTCTCGCCCGCACTTGGGCACAGAAGCTCTGCCCCCAGCAGCAGCCGGGAGACACATGCCACCACCAGGCATGATTTGGGTCACTGTTCCTCCGGCTCTGCCTCGTCCTCCTCTAAGGACACCACCCCCGAAGAAGCCACATCAGAGGCTTGCCGCTGCCGTTCCCAGCTACCCGGCGGGCAGAGAGGCTGGCAGTCCTTGCAGGCGGCTGGCTCCTCCTCGGCAGGGGAAAGGCAGGACTCCATGAGGGGCGAGCTGTAGAGCGAGTCCTGGGCCTCCAATGGGCCCAGGCTACGGAAGGCACTTTCCCGGCTGGGGGGCAGTGTGGCGAGGAGCAGCTGGTCGCCCAGCAGCTGGGAGGCCAGGCGGGCTGGGGAGCCCAGCAACCCGTCCTCCAGGCTGCAGAGGCTGGAGCACAGGGTCTCTGGGGACACGGTCTGCGAGCAGTCGCTCTCAGGCTCCACAGAGCCCTGGCGCACAGGCCTGGAGAACCGGGGGCCGGTGAAGAGGTCCTGGAGGTGGGGCCCCAGGGGCAGCTGCCCGGCCATCTCTGCAGGGGGAGAGAAAAAGAAGATAGCCCTACCCGCCCTGTTTCAGCTGGCCTACCTGGAGGGAGCCATGTTCTCCCCACTCCACCCTCGGCGCCGCTAGCTCTGGGGGGAGAGGGTAGGAGCTCGCTAACTTCACCTCTCAGCGCCTCCGTTTCCTTAGTGGCAAATTGGGGAATCTGATAGACCTACTTATGGAGTTGTTGAGTGAACAAAAGAATGCAGCATACAGTAAGAGAGCAATAAATGCACAGATACCACACACGGTCATGCCGCTGGTTCACTGCACGAGGGGAGCCTGTCCAAGGCAGTGAGTGTGGACTGGAGTTCAGCCCACACTTGCTCACCAAGCAGCGAGGCCTAGCATCAGGCTGAGCCCACCAGAGAAAGAGGTGCTTTCTTCTAATTTGCACAAAGCTTCTACGTGGGAAAGTAGTGGCCTTGGATAAATGTTAGTTATTATCGTTATACCAGGGGTCAAAGCAGGTCTGGAACTCAATCAGACGAGAACGTTTGTGGTTCAGGGCTCCCATCTTGGCCTCAGACATCCAAATCAGTCAACTCTGGACCACAGCAGAGGTCTAACATATTGCCAATCTGCTCTGCTGTATTGCCCTTGGAGAATCTGTTAATTAGCTGGGCGGGTGGGGGCTGGTGGAGGTAATCTTCAAAGGCAGAGAAGAATGGGGCGGTGGGGTGTTGTGAGGCGTGAGCCCAGAAGCTACAGAGAAAGTCAGCCATGTGGTCCAGGAAGAATCGGAAGATGAAAGGAGGGCCGTGCACAGCTGCACAGCCCCGCAGGGTCCCCTCTGCAAGCGCTGGCCCAGAGAGAGGCCCAGAGGCAGGTCTCAGATGGAACTCACGGAGGCTGAGCCTGAGCCAGCATGGCCCTGTGGGCAGTCCAGGCCCAGCACGCCTTCCTGTTTGCCTGGGGCCCCAGCCCTGGGAGGTGCTACGCTGCCGGCTCGTCTGTGCTGCCACAGCTGGCCAGAAGGCTGCCCCGAAAGGGGAAGGCAAGGCACAGCGGACCCCCCCAGAGATGCAGCTGCCCAGAAGGTGTCGGTGAGGTCTCTGGACCACAAGACCCAACAGCACAGACGGGCAGAAAAGGCTCAGCACGTGCGCGAAAGGAAGCACTCCATTTGTAGCTGCTGACTGCCCACCCACGAGCGAGAACAGCCCCCTTGACCCTGGAAGGTCAAGGCACAGCCGGGACAGGGTCTGCCCCCAGCGTCCCCTTCCGAAGGCTGAGCTCGGAATCACAAGGCCTCCCAGGCAGGCCCGCCCCAGTACTGGCACTGCCTACCCCTCACCTGAGTCAGCTCCTCCAGCAAAGTCCTCATCGTAGGATTCATCGGTGGAGTCCTCGCCATCCACTGAAGACCAGGCCCGGAGCTTGGCTTCTGCAATGGCAAACTGCTCGGCCACTCCTGTCAGGGAGGCCAAAGAATTTATTAGCAGAGAAGGTTCCTTAGCAGGATTCATTAGCTAAAGGACTAAGACTAGGGCTCAGGCTGGAGACAGGAGAGAGAAGAGATGGGGGTGTGGGAAGAGCATCCCAATGACAAACGTGTGGCTGACCCCTTCCTGTCCCCACCTGCCGCAAAGCGAGCCTCTTGTTCACCCTCGCTGAGGTCCGAATAGGAAGAAAAGGCTGATTCCAGGGCAGCAGGCGAGTCGCTTGGCTTGCTCCAGCCCTTCCACTCAATGAGGTGAGCCACTCGGCCCTGCGCCATGGCAGTGGGCTTGGTCACGTGGTCCTTCACCACCTGAGAAATACCTGCGGTTGGGGCAGAAGGAGGAAGGCTGGTGAGTGCACAGGCCAGGGAGGGAAGTGGAAGGGTGGTGGTAGTTAGGGTCCACATGTGCCTCTGGATGGGAGGAGGGAGCTGAGATTCATCTGAGAAGGGGAGGAAGGGGGAGATCCCAGCAAGAGCTCACAGGATACAGCCCCCAAGGGTAAGTGCAAAAGGAAGAAGGAAGGACAAAGTGGCCAGAGGTATGGGAGGGGGGTGCATACCATGCAGGGAGGATCTGGCCAGCGCAGCAATCTCCTGGATAGTTAGGGCTCTCCGGGACTTGGGCAGCATCGCGACTGTGTCTCCAACATTCACCTTGGGTGACAGCATCAGAGGGTCAGTGCTCCTCTAACAGCAGCATCCCCCTCTGTGCCCACAGCCCACCCAAGGTGCCAAGGGGGTACAGGAGCTGGGAAGAGATGCCAGGGCAGCACATATGTGCCCGTGGCTGCTGGGGTATGTAAGACGGAGAGTAAGAAGCCAGGGCCAGCAAGCCGTGTCCTCTCAAGGAGCAACAGAGATTCAGGCTGACCCAAAAGAGCAGAACTGCAGCTACCACCCCCCCACCTCCATCTTCCCAGCTCCCAGAGGGGAAGGAGGCGGGCTGGGAAGTCAAGAACCATGGAGTGGGGCCTTTGAGAAGAAAAAAGAGGAAGGGAGAAAGCTACGGCATCAAGGATTTCCTCCAGGTTCTCTCCTCTTTGCCCCTCTCCTCCTCTCAGTCTTCGGACATCTCAGTCTTCTAGCTGTTTCTACAGCCTACCAGGGTCACAAACTCAGCATGACCAAAACCAAACCCAGCACCTTTTCCCACATCTGGCCCTGCTTCCTGACTTCCTTACGCAGCATCAGCCAACCACCATTCAGCATGGCTCCAAACCTCAGCATTACCATCAACTCTCCCCTAAGCTTTGCTCATCCTTTCTACTCCCACTGCCACTGCCCTCCCTTCCTCATGTTCAGATTAGCACAGTTGTGGTCCCCCAAGCTCCTTCAATTCATGGAATTTTCTCAGCCTAGAATGTTGTGTAAGTGTTCCTCTCCCTCCTCCCCAGGGCTGGCTGGCTCTTTCTCATCTTTTGGGTCTTGGCTGAAACATCATTCCCTCAGAAGGCTCTTCCTGGCTACCCTACCAGTTGTCCATCCTCCCTCGGTAACAAGTCACCATCCTCTATGAATGTACCCTGTGTGTGTAATCATGGTCTACTTCGTGTGTTTCCTTACTGGTCATTGGTCCCCCTCACTGGTCTTTAGCTCTTGGAGGAATTTGGTCTCTTTTGGTCACTGCTGCACCCCAGTGTTTAGCACAGTACCTGGTACAGAGTAACCTTTCTAAATACATAGGCTGAATGAATGAGGCAAAGTATAAATGTAAACAAATAATTTTCCCCGGAGTGTAACTGGTCACATGTCACATGTCCCTATTTAAAATCTTTTCTGGGCTCCTCCACTGCCCAGTGAAGTGCTAGCTTCACAGCCAGGCACTGAGGGGGCCCACTTTGTGAGCCCCCTGCCCCCTTCCAGGCCTTGGAATCTACCACCTAGACCCTCTGCCCAGGAAAACCCCACTTCCACCTTCCCTGTCGGCAAACCGCCCTCTTGCCTCCAGGCAAAGAAACCCAGCTCTCCCCTGGGCTAAGAACGCCATCCTTGCCTGACAAAATGCTCCCTACCATCTGAGGCCTGACTCAAGTGTCACCTCCTATTACGTTTTCAGTCCAGTTTTCTCTCTTCTTCAATACCCCCACCCCCACGCCAGCATTGCCCTTGCATCTCTCCTGAGGGATCTCGGGATGGCAGGGCCTGACTCTGATTCACCTGGGTTCCTACCTCCACCCTGCACCTGGTTCAGTGTTCCTTGGCAAGCCTGGAAAATGTTTCCCTCAATGAATGAATGAAGTCAGAGGCACATGCCCCCTCCCCGGAATTGCCTAGCTCTCCTGATCAGGTTCCCACCCCTCACAAGAGGAGCTCCAACTGCTCCCTTGACCTCAGGCCCACCCTCTGCTCCCCCCCACCCCCCCACCCCCACCCCAGTACCTGGCTTACAGGGGCCCCAGGGTGGCGCCGTTAGCTTCCGGCCAGGCCTGGGGGGAGGAGCACCTGCTGGGTGTTTCCTGGCTCGCTCTCCCTCCCTCCCCTCACTGCCCCCAGCCACTGCCATCCGTGCCGGCGCTCCGCGCAGCTGCGGCCCAAGCCCAGAGAAAAGGTGTGTGTCTCCCTGGCAACCCATCACCATGCAACAGGGTCTCCCGGGATACGGCCTGGGATGCGCTGACGTCAGCGCCCAAGGCGGGAGCAAAGCCCGCCCGCTGGCACGACGCCGAGCAGAGCAGACCGGCGCGGGGGCGGCCTTGGGGCCCCGCCGGCCGGATAGCGCCTCCGCTCGCAGGAAAAGGGAGCCAGAAGCAGGCTGGCGAGGCGGGGGTGGGGGATACAGATCCCCTTCATGTGAATGCGGCCCCCCTTCCCCCTACCAATACCAGGGGCCCAGCACCTCTGGCAAGTCCTGGCTGTCCACGGAGGAAGGGCGGGAGGACCGGCTCCAGCCTCGGAGGGTCCGAGCAGATCCCAAGGAAGATAGAGAGAGGCCCCGAGGAAGTTCGATCCACTCCACAGCCCAAGCGGGGTCCGAGGCCACTGAGGGGTGGGGGAAAGGCTGTTCACCTGGGCTCCCACTTCTGCCAATATCCCCATTTTCATCCGGTGCTGCCATATCATTTCTCCTCACCCCTCCCCCACCTCCCAGAACATCAGCAACCACCTGGTGCTCTCCACAATTCTGAAAACCCCTATGCCACATTCCTGACCTTCAGGCCCCTGGGGCCACTCTGTGGCAGCCCACAGGCCCCCTTCCTCTCTGGATGTATTTTTGCCATCAGAACCCTAGGGATGAAACCTAAACTTTCATAAATTCTCGATCTTGGGTTTCTCGGCCTACCCATTCCTCTTGGAAAGCACACTGCGTTCTTGCACCACCATCGCCATCCTCCTCCCCACCACCACCTTGGACCCTTTACAGGCTTGGTGCCTTCCTTCTCTTGGTTCTTTCCTCTCGCCAGCATGAGCTGGTACGCAGCTCTTTACTCTTCTCTTCTGACAAACCCACGATTTTTTCTTACTTTCACCCCAGCCCCCTAAAGCTTTTTTCCTGATGCCCTGTCTGGTCCCGGCCTGGTGGTTCCTGTTTCATCCTGGTTCCCAATATCTAAGCCAGAATAATTTTCCTTTTGCCACCTGAGCACCCTACTCCTCAGCTTCCCCTCACCTCCCAGATCACAGCTACAGTCCCTGGTCTCACCTCTGCGACTTGTCTGACAAGTCCATCGTCCTCCAGGCCCTTCACGCTGCCACAGAAACATTTTGCCCAGCACAGAAATCATAGGCATGCTGGCTGTGTTGATGCAGAGAACCAAAAGCCCAGAACCGCTCCAGGCTCAGCTCCCAGTTCTATTCTTATTTTGGCTCCGGATGCTGAGCCAGTCCCCTCCCCACTTGGAATCTGTGCCTAGTCACATAAGGAGAACACTCCTTCCTCTTGGCTTTGAGGAGGTGGGAGTACAAGGGGCCCAGCAGAGCTCTCTGGAGCTCAGGAAGCTGAGGCCCATCCCCTAGACAGTGCCAACAGGCAATGTACATCCCAACTGACCTTTAGCTGGAGCAGCCGTCTCTGTCCCTGAGCCTCAGCCAGCTGGTGGTCCCCAGAAATGCTACCAACCAGAAGGAAGACACAAGGTTACAGGCCATCCCTGGCCCCCAGCTGGTACCTAATCAGGGCTCTCAAAGCCAGTCCTGAGGTCAGCCAAACTCTCCCGACTACAGGAGGGAATGACTTCCTGAACTCCAAGCCTTAGCAGGGCCAGAGGGACCAGAGCAGCCTGCTGCTTCTCAGCTTCAAAAGTCAGGAGGTTAATTTAGGACTACAAATCCCATAATTCCTCGTGGGAACCCAAGGAGAGTACAAATCTCAGCCAGAGTCTTATCTCCAAAGAATCTCAAGTACCAACCACACTAAGGCCTGTATGACTGACTACCTGCCCTGGAAGCCCAGGACCCATTCCAAATCCAGCCCTCAACCTGACAAATCCCTGCCTGGCCTTAGGCTTGGAGAAATCCATGACACTTAAGAAAAGTAGGCTGGCGGACCTCAGATGCATAGGACTGAAGCCAGGCCCCAGCGTGCACCACCATCCGTGGGAACCAAGACCCAAGCAGCAGGCATCAGCAGTTTTAAGAAGCCCTAATGGCCTCTCTCTGGACTCCTCTTTCCCCCCACAAGGTACGATGATTTGTTTTTGTTGGGAGTGGGGGAAGGAACTAAAACAGTTAAGGTGATCAGGTGCTCACAGGTGCCCCAAATGGGGCCTCAGTCCCCTTCATCAACATCTGACTCTGAAGGGAGGAGTTAAGTTTTAGCCAAAAACTCCGTAGTGGGGTGCTTGACGGGCTTTGCAGGCTACCTCCTTAAGGGGGTTGGAACACAGCTAGGAGAGGCAGGTTCCCAGCATAGGGCCACTCCCAGGGCAGAGAAGAAGAGGTGTGGGCCGTGGGGGCGGCGAGTGTGTGGGCGTGGAAGGCCAGTCGCCATGGACACCTTGCCCCTCCCAAGGCTGTGCGCCTCCTGCCCCCTTCAGCGGTGGGAATCCAGGCGGAAAGACCATGAGTCTACCCTGCAAAGCCCAGAAGCCGGCAGGCCGTGACAGCGAAGCCGAGTCGATTTGGCCCCCTCCCCGCTCCTACCCTCTCCTTCCTCTTGCCTGGCCCGCCTCCCCAGTGCAGGCTCCTCCCTCTCCCGACACCGGCCCCCTCCTCAAGGCCCCCACCCACCCGCGGCCCACGCACCGGGCAGCCGCAGCCCAATTCCCCAACCCGTGCCTGGCCTCCACCTCTTACCCTGACCCGCCGGACTCCGAGAGCCGATACAGCCCATGGCCGGGCACCCAGGCACGCTAGCCCGCGCTCGGGGCCCGGGCCATTGCCTGGCAGAGGGTCGGGCAGCGGCCGCCACCGGGGAGGGGAGAGCCCGTGAGAGGGGAGGGGGTGGGAGCCGCGCGTCCGCCGCCGCTCCCCGGAGAGGGAACCGGGCCGGTGACGTCAGCGCGGGGGCGTGGCCATCTGCGTCACCATCCAGGGCGGGCGGGGCGAAACACGTCACAGCCACGCAGGGGCGGCCTGGGGCCGAGTCCGGAAACCCTCGTCCTCTCCTCCCAGGCCCGACTGCGGAGCGACCCTTAAGGCAAAGGGTGGGCGAGAACTCACTGGGCCCCCGGATGCCAGGCACGCCGCATGGGGACGGTCAGACTCCTGCATCCAGCCTCGTTTTACAGATGAGACCTTGAAGCCACAAAGGACTCTCCGGCTGTAAACAGCTTGAAACCCAGGGCCTCCTCCACACATAGGGGTCTGCATCAAATTCTGGAAGTACCCCGCAGCTATTTGTCTCTTCTCCCCTAACAACCAACAGGGCACCCCACCATGTCCGTTTCAAGGGTACAACCCCCCAGGAAAATGACCCTCCGACCCCCACAATCATGGACAGGGGAAGAGGCAAGAGGGGTGCCAGGTTACAGGGGACAGTACTAGAGTGCCGGCTCTGGAAAGGAGGCTGCCCACCTATCCATACCCCTTCTCCAGAGGGAGCAGGCCATAAAGCAGGGAGGCAGTAAGCTTAATTGAATTCATGTTTAATAATTACAGGCACCGTGCCCCCCCCTTCCCCCTGCCCAGGCAGCAGCAGGGGTGGTGCAGGGGCTGGGGCATATGCCCCCAGCAGCGAGGACGGCAGTCCCATGAGTGATTTTCAGAAAATAAAAAAGGACCCCAGGGGCAGGCGGTGGTGCCCCCCCACCAAGACACACCAAATTTCAAGACTTTATATATAATATATCTCTGTGCCCCAGGGGGGAGGAGAGGGACACCTGGCAGCATCCTGGAGGGGGGGCCCCAGGCAGCCCCACGCCATCCTGCCTCTTCAGCCATTTTATTAGCTCAGACACATCGCACTACAGGCACCCATTGCCGCCGCCGCTGCCGCCGCCCCCCCCTGCAGTCCGGGCGGCTGGCCGGGCCATCTGAGTGTCCATGGGGCTCCAAGTCCCCGGCCCCACCCGCCCTCAGTTGTGGTCAGACTCCTCCTCCTCCGCCTCACGAAGCCACTTGAAGAAGGCTGTGACAGATTTAAGGGCCACGCCCTTGCCCTGTTGCTCAGCAGGGTCCTTGCTACTCTCCCAGCTGTAGAAGGCATCCTCTTTCACCACATCCTCGTCATACAGCGTGTCAAAGAACATCCGAAGCAGATCTGCAAGCAGGCAGGACAAGAGCAGTTAAGAGGAGTGCTGCCCACAGCCACCCCATTCCACTCCCAGGCTCCACTGTTAAAACAAGGGCCTGATCCACCTTCCTGGTATTTGTGTGTCTGACCATTCCAGAGTGACTAGGTGGGTCTCTAACAAGATGTTAACCTCTTCGTGAGACTGGTGCATGGTAATGAGTCACAGAAAAACCTTACCAACCTGCCCAAGCTTCACCTCAGCAGCTTCACTCAAAAACTAGACACAGATTTGGTACTCCTCAATTTAAGGAATGACGTTAAGTCCCAGATATATCACTCACCAAAGTCAAGGGTTTATAACCTGGAACATTCACTGGTCCCCATTACAGATGCTAGCAAACTGGATCCCAATTTCCTCTTATTTTCCACACATCTCCTGAACATACACATCCTCTCTGGCCTTGACACTTTTACAGGTGCTGCATCCTTTGCCAGGACTTCCTTTCTCTTGTCACCTTCCTACTGAATTTCTTTAGGCTCAACTCCGGCACCCCTTGCTTGGACCCTCTTTCTCCCCATCCTGACTACTAGTTAAGCCTTCCCAAGCACTTGTCCTGTAAGCCCTGAACACAACCTATCCCATACCCCCACACTGCCCTGCCAAACTTTCCAAAAGCAAAGGGAGGCCAAGTAGCAAATTCATTGTTTTCTAAATAAAGCCTCGCTCGGATCTGGAGTCCAGGCCTAGATGAAATGCTGAGAAGCTGCAAGCCAGGATGTTCCTCAGGGTACACACCCCCTCAAATCCACAACCACCGCCCCCCAGACCCATCCTACAGCAGGAGAGCATTTATCCCAAACTTGTGTTCCAAATTCCATGCACACCCACCCTGGGGACCCTACACAATCAATTATCCACTCTGCCCTCTATTTTTGAGCCCAAGTTTCTCCCATCTAAACACAAAAGGCCTCCTTTACAACCACTATCTCCTACAGTCAAACAAAAGATTTTTGTCTTTGGACAAGAGATTAACTAAATTCAAAGATTCTGTCTACACTTGCTGTTTTCCTTTCTTCCTGTCTCAGTCAAGTATTACTCAGTCCTTTCCAATCCAGACTGCCACCTGCTCTACCAAATATGCCAGAGTGGCCTCTGTGTTTTTACACTCCAAAGGCCCTAAATGTTCAGGTCTGCTCCTATGGAATTCTCAAGTAGCATCTAACGTTACAGACCACTTCCCTCTCCTAAAGTTACTTTGTCCTTTGTTCACAGGGTCCTGTCCTCCTCTGATCCCTACCCGTGGGTGCTCCACTTGAACGTTCTATCGCAGGCTCTCACCACTCTCCCTCAAGCAATCCCATACCCTCTGGTGACTTGCATGTGTTGCTGTGCCAGCTTCTCACAGATAGGCCACCAACCCGGACCTCTTCCTTTCCAAATGAATTCCCGTACCCAGCTGTCTACCTGACACTGCCGATCACCCCCGCCCAGGGACCACAAACTCATTATGACCAACCTCAACCTGATCCAGTGTTCCCAACCCCGCCCCCCCCCAGGGCAAATGGTACCATGCCATCCCCCCCGCCTGCTAAAAAAGCATGCTGGAAGGCCTGTAACTTCCCCTCTCTCATGACCCCTCCCACCATGCCTGTGTTATAACTGCAACCGCACCGCCCCCAGCTCCAATGCTACCAGCAAGCCCGAGCCGCCAGCAACCCAACCCGCTCCTAATTTGCTGCTCTTGTGTGTTCACATTCAACCCACTCCAAACCACTCCTCCTACTAATGGCCAGGATGATCTAAAAACTAAAATTCCACAAAGCTTTTTCCCGGCCTTAGGCTGAAGGCCAAAACTTGTCCCATGGCTTAGACAGCCCTGCAGGACCTGGCCCATGTCCATCTCTCCAGCCCCATCTTGCCTCACACACAACTAGCTGCTATGCTCGCCCACGCTGGCCTTCCCTGGGCACTTCTTTTACCTGAGTCAAGTCCCTTCTGCCGCAGGGCCTGCGTTTACACACAATTCCTTCATTTCAAGGACCCCCCTCCCCTTTGTCATTGGGCTGCCGTTTTGTCAATTCCCACTCCCCACTCGTCATCCCTTACGCTAGGTGTCCCCAGAGAGCACCCTGCAGGACCCATCTTCCACCACTCATCACCTGTTAAGACTCCATGCCAGCACGAGAACTGTGCTTGACTTAATCACTGCCAACGTCCCAGTGCCCTGGCACATACCTATTTGCCGAACGCACAATCTCAGGCATGCTAACCTAAACCTCAGTCTCCCAACATGGTAAAGGGGATAACAGGGATATACTTTAAACAACAGCTGTTAGAATTAAATGAGGCAAGGAAAGAAAAGCCTCTCAGCCCCCTGCCAGGCCACAAGAGCACTGGGTCCTTAGAAATCATTACTGTTTTTCACCTCCATGCTCCTGGCATCGAACAGCTGGCCGGGTACAAAATGGCAGCCAATTAAGCTTCAAGGCTGAGTCTTACCTCCTTCCATTTGTAGGCCAGGAAACAAACCCGTGCAGGGGGAAGAAATCAACCACCAGGGCGTTCTGCTCTCCAGGGACCACCCCCCTCTCCTGGGTTGAGACCCTTTCCATGACTGCCCCTGCTCTCTGGCAGCGCCCCCACCCCCACGCCCTGCAGCCTGGCTCTTACTGGCGGGCTGTTCTAAGGTCACTACAAGGGCCTGGAGGGCGTAGAGCGCCTGCAGCTCCTTCCGCTCATCACACAGGTATTTCTGTAGCAGTTTCGCTCGCGCTTTCAGCACCGTGACATCCACTCGGAGGGGCGTCTCAACTACAGGGCAGAAGACAGAGTTAAGTGGACTAATGCACCCTCGGCCTGGTCCACAACCAGGAGGCGAAGACCAAAACCTCCCTCCCTCCATTTGTCTGCTGGGCCCACCCTTTCCCCACCATCTCCCTGGCTCCTTACAGACAATTGCAGAATAGCAGACAGTTGTCATGAGGGCTCGAACTAGTGTGTTGGATGCTACCTGCTGCTCACTCAGGTTGGCCTGTGCAGAAGAGAAACAAAAGGCCCCTAAGTTCTGAACTATGCCCCTACCCGCACGCCAAGAACTGCCTCTCCTTTATCCCTCTCCCCCAGTACCCAGGAGAAACATACCTCTATCCAGTCAAACACCCGCTGGTTACTGCTGCCCTCCTTCAGCAGCTTCTCCAGCTGCCTGCTCAGCTCCTCGGAGGAGAGCATCCTTTGGCCCGGGGCTTCTGACTCCTCGCCCAAGGTATACTCCACCTTCTACAAAAAGACCCACAGTCAGGAGGTAAGTGTACCACGTGAGTGTTTTGAGGGAAGAAGAATGGCCAGTCCCAAATGCTAGAATTAGCCTAACTCCAGCCACAAACCTGTTCAGTGACGAATGCACTGACATCCTGGCCTTCAGGTAGAAATTCCTTCCAGCTGAGTCCAGCCTCTCGCCACAGCATCCCCACCTTTTTGGGACTCTGGAAAATGCAAGACCAATTCAGCAACTTTCTCTCCCTCCAAGACCTAGCTCCACAAATGTCACCCAACAAATATTTACTGAAAGGCCACTAGGTGCCCTCCAGGGGCTCAGGATGTAACAGAAGTACCAAATAGGCAGTCTCTCCATGCCTACAGGCTAGTACTGGACAGAGATCAGCCAAAAAATCACCCAAAGACACAAGAAATCATCTACCACAGTGCTAGGAAACGGGGGGGGG